TCAGCCGGCAAAAGGGTGGCAAAGAAGGGGCCATTTCTCTGCTGCTTGTCCAAGCAGCAGGAGATGTTGGCGTGAGTCCCACCAAGCCAAGAAGTCCACAGAAACAAGAGAACTCTTTTTTTCCCCATCCTTTGCCCATCGCTGCTTTTGCGTTAACGACAGACAGCAATACCTAAGGGCACGCTTAGGCGTAGGGATATTCTGGAAATCCTCTTAAAACTTGCATCTTTGAAGGCCACCACTTTGTTTTTTTCTGTGAAGGCACAGCACCCACATTTCTTGTCCAATGTCATGATCTGAGCTTGTTTTCTCCCTTCAATCCACCCAAGACTTCTCCTGGTGTCTCAATTTTTCTTTCCTCTCAACCATTGGGGCAGCTGCAAGACTTTTGGAGGCCAGGAGGTGGGGGACGACCATCCCCACCCTGGAGAGTTCAAGGGGCAGGTGCTGCTCTTTAACGCTGTTGCTCTATCGATGGCAGTGCAGGCTTTTCAACCTCGTCCCCAACCCTGTTTTCGGTGTCCGTTCGACTGGATCGGATACAGAGGAAAATGCTACTATTTTTCGGAGGCTGAGGGGAACTGGACATCCAGCCAGGACAACTGCACGGCACTCGGTGCTTCCTTGGCCACGCTCAACGGTGTGGAGGACTTGGTAAGGAGTCACGAGGACATGCTTAGCATGGGAAAACGAAAAAGCCACCGACGTATTGGCCACCTTTTGGGTTCTTTGACTGGTCGTTCAGGATCTTCCTTGGAGATGTGGGCTGAGGAGATGGGGAAAATGGTTTTCTTGAGGGTAGGTCATCATGGGTCTACTCAAATGTCTCACCAAATCCAACCGATGCAAGAACTATAGCAAAAAAAAACCCAAAAAAGCCCCGTTTCTATGCTACAATGAAGCTCTGCCTTAAAGATGACACTTTTTGGCAGTAGATTGAAAGGTTCAAGCACCAAAGGAGCCCAAAAGGAGCACGAGCAGCTGATAAAACGTAGATGATTGGTTGCAGGAGGTTTCTGCAGATGGCCAGAGACGTCCCAAAGCCCCACGACCTGCCGTAAAACCCTTCTCTTGCCTCTTTTTCAGAGCTTCGTGATGAGGTATAAAGGCATCTCGGAGCATTGGATCGGCCTTTCGCGGGATGACGAGGAGCAGCCGTGGAAATGGGTGAAACGCTCACATTTCTCTCACCTGTGAGTCTGCGTGTTTTTTGGAGTTTTTTTTTTTTATGTCATTGGTTGGTGTTTCTTCAGCCCCGAAATGCGCGTTTCTTCTAGCGCTTGAGGAGGATCCAGAGGTAGCAATGGGACAAACGATGTTTGGGAAAGGCAACGTTGCATCCAGAGCCAGTCTTCATTTTTCCCTTTGAATTGAGAGGTGGAAGCAGTACGTTTGGTGCGGAAAACACTATTAGATTTTTATTTTAAAATAATTTCTTTTTTCCTTGCAAAGCATCAGGTTTCTTACAGCCAACCCATACTACTGCCGAAGTAGAAAAAAAATTCAGCGTCAATACTGCCACATCGATGCCCGTGAAAACTGAAGAGGAGGAAAAAAGCCAACGTGTGATTTTTCTCCTTTTCCCTGCTGACCCCAGCTAAGGTGGGTTGTCTCATCTGTCCTTCTAGGTTTCGGATCCGCAGCAGCGGCCTCTGCGCCTACCTGGACGACAACGGGCTCAGCTCCTCCCGCTGCAGCGCCGAGAGGAGCTGGGTTTGCAATAAGCCTGAGCTGCAGAGCCCAGGCAAGGGCAACAGGACGAGACGGGCTCAAAACCTTTGCATCAGCTCCTAAGGGGCTGCAGGGAGCGCTCGTCAAACCCAAACACCCGCTGCACAATAGGGAAACAAAAGAAAAACCTCAAAAAAAAAAAAAAATCAAAAAACAGAAAAAGCACACTCAGGGAAAAAAGCCTATTGCCAAAAATTGCTGGCTAAGAACCAAAATTATGTGTTTGCGTTTGGCAACCCAACTTTGCCATACAACCAGCAAAAATATCTGGTGGTTACTCACAGCAATTCACACCTGATAATGACTTAGTCATAACCCCACAGCAATTAAGCGTCAGAGCAAGAAGAAAGCCAAGTCCGGTTTTTCTGAGCTTTTTCACCCCTCCAGCTCGGCTTTGCAAGCTCCTCTCCAAGCTAGAGGTCTGCGAGGAGCAGCGCGAGCCTCTGAGTGCTCGTCAAGGGGAGCAAGATTGCAAAAGAGCGTGTTTGATGCGCTGGCCAGCCTGAAAATGAAATTTAACGTAGCTTCTTCTGAATTAAGCCAGGGAGAATGAGTTCACATCAAGGGAAGTAACACCTGAGAGCACCAAGAAGCCTCTGCTATTCAAAGTCGAGCCACAGCCTTCTAAGGTACCAAAGGGAATCTCCCACACAAGACACCTTCAATAATGAAAAAAGCCCAAACAACCCCAAAATACGTGGTTCTGCAAAGAGGCACTTCCAGACCTCGCTCCCCTCTGTCCAAACTGGGTATTTTGCATGAAAAATAAGGCATCATTGCAAGAATGATGCAGAGCCTCTGCCATCTCCCAGAATATTCCTAGTAGGATCGGAATAATTGTGATTTTTACAAAATAAAATAAACCCACATCTCTCCCACCCTTATCTCCTCCCTGTAGCCACTCGAAAGGGGTTTTCTAGCCTTAGCCACTGCTTCTCCACACCCAAACCTATTCCTATTCAGGTTTATTACTGTATGTGCCTATAACGAGAAGGCGTAGATGCTTCTGTCCTCTCTTTAAACAGTTTCTCTGGCTGCAAACGAGGGAAAAGCAGGACCTTGGTCATTAATAGCTGTGGTGGGTTGGCCCCGCGTGGGCGGCCGGGGGCCACCAAAGCCGCCCTCTCACTGCCCTTCTCAGCTGCACAGGGCAGAGAAAATACAACGAAAGGCTGGTGGGTCGAGATAAGGACAGGGGGATCAGCAGTTATTGAATTTATTGCCAATCAAATCACAGTAGGGTAATGAGAAATCAAACCAAATCTTGAAACACCTTCCCCCCACCCCTCCCTTCTCTTTTTCTCTCCCGCCCAGCGGCACAGGGGGACGGGAATGGGGCTTGGGGTCAGTTCATCACCCATCTCTGCTGCTCTTCCTCCTCAGGGGAGGACTCCTCACCCTCCTCCCCTGCTCCAGCGCGGGTCCCTCCCACGGCAGACAGTCCTCCACAAACTGCTCCAGCGTGGGTCCTTCCCAGGGGGTCCCAGCCTCCTCCGGGCACCCACCTGCTCCGGCGTGGGCTCCTCCCCGGGTGCAGGGGGATCTCTACTCCACGCCCCTCCAAATTGGGGTGGGGGGAGAAGCGAGCATGAGCACATCCTTGTGATGACAAAATCAGTTTTAAACCGAGGTAGTGGCTGGTATTAATGCAAAAACTGCAAAATTTAAGATTTTGAATTAGGGTTGGAAGCCCGGCCAGTGACGGGCATCGAGGTCAGTAAAAGAAACCTTCAAAGGGGGCCGAGTTTGGGAGGAAAACCCAAGTTTTCAGCTCAAAACCAGCTGGGTGAAGCCCAGCTCCCGTTAATGAGCTTTGGATGAATCTAACGATAGCAGCTGTTGGACGAGACGAGTGGTGCCGAGCTCGGACCCGAAACCCCCTGCATATAACCCAAACTGGAGACAACTGAGGTGGAGGTAGGACCACGAGCCGAGGTAGAAATGACTCCAAGAGCTGGAAAATAAGAGTTGAGGAGCATCAAGGAGCGTTTCCAAGCACCGTGGAGCAACCAGCTTCGAGGGGCCGCCGCCGGCGCATCAACCCTTGCGGGACAGTTTGATGGTGGAGAGGAGCACGCAGAAGTAGGGGAAGACCTTCTCTCCACTGAAGGAGGCCGCGGGGAAGGTGAAGATGCATTGGCGGCTGCCGACGGCGTAGAAGGAGACCTGTCCCCCCTCGTAGTCCAGGTAGACCCCGATCTCCCCTCTGAGGAGCGGGACGCGGGTGTTGGAAGGAGCCGTCAGGGCCACGCAGAGCTCGTTGTACTTCTGCAAGCCCCAGATCTTGGCGTTGGGCTTGAAGAGGACCCGGCCTTTCCTCTGAATCGACTCGCGGGCCACCCCAACAGCCCAGAAACACCCGTTCGCCTCCACCTCCCAGTAGTGACGGCCCGAGGTGAAGCCCTCGCTGCCCAGCACGCACGGATCTGTGTCAAACCGGCCCGGAGCCTCAGGCCACCGGTGACCAGGTCTACCCCAGGTGGCCTCTTTGAGGTCCTCGGAGAGGATCACCTCGGGACCCGCGGTGGCCGGATCCAGGGTCACATCCACTGGAGAGCAAAACAGAGAAGGAATCAGAAGCCAAACTTAAGTGTAGAGAACGTGCACCCCCAAAATCCCCTTCTCTGGTTACTTTTCAAGGAGAAAGGGAGAGAAGTGGTGAGGTTGGAGATGGAAGAGCCAAGAGATGGGGGTTGGAGAGGAAGGATCTCCAGTTTAAGTTGGACATGGAGGAGCCAAGAGATGGAGTTTGGAGAGGAAGGATCTCCAGCTGAAGTTGGACATGGAGGAGCCAAGAGATGGAGATAGGAGATCAAGGATTTCCAGCTGAGTTGGAGAAGCCAAGAGATGGAGGTTGGAGAGGAAGGATCTCCAGCTGAAGCTGTAGAAGCCAAGAGATGGAGGTTGGAAAGGAAGGATCTCCAGTTGAAGTTGGAGGAGCCAAGAGATGGAGGTTGGAGAGGAAGGATCTCCAGGCCAGGTTGGCCATGGAGGAGCCAAGAGCTAGGGGCTGGAGACGGAGAAGCCAGGGAGACAGAAGGTGGAGCTGGAGGATCTCCAACTCCAACGGACACCTCACTTGCCGCTGCCCAGAAAACATCAGGAATCGGTACTTTGCTCCTCTCCGGCCGCCTTTGGTTACCTTCAAACTGTTTTGCCGTGTGGTAGTCCAGGGCAAGATCCCACGTGCGCGGCTGTGGTTTGAGGAAGAAAGCCATCACGCCCACGATGTCCTCCCCTCCCAGCTAGAGGCGCAGAAAAGGGAAAGAAAGGAGAAGATAAAATTATTATCCTACACGCGGGCACATCTCAGCTTCTCACCCCTTTTTATGTCAGAAAATGGGTTCAACCACCGTATTTAATCAAAATACTTGAAAGAAAATGCCATTTTTTTCGCTGGTAGTTGCAAAGGAGCTTGGTCCATTTATGGGAAGACCGACAGAGATGGATTAAATCGAGTAATTCCCTGATGATGAAGGGAATACGAGGAGCAGGTTGGGATGGACCCGTCTCCCTTGTAGATAAGATTATACCCCAAATTCCCCATTCCTTGTGCTGGCTCAGGGATGAATCCATCTTAAATCCATCTCTACTCTCCACCATGCATTTTCTTGGGCAATCAAATCCGACAAGGTTTATTTAAGTGAGAAAAATCCTTAAAATTGAGATAAGCCGAGTCCCAACTCTCCCGCGTCCAGAGAAATCCTGCAAGAGGCGCAGAAATTTGCCGCTGGCCCCAGAGAAAACGTGCACGGGGGAGATAGGGCTGGCGTCAGCAGGCCTCGAATCCACCCTCCAAAACCTGGCGTGGGGCTTTGAGGGTAAACGAGCAGTTGCCTGGGCACTGGAAATTAGCAATAAAGCCCCCAAATTGTTGAATAAACCACGCGGCGACGCTCAAAAATAAATCGGTTGCTTCTTTCCCGCACGCTTTCCCCAGCAAAACTGCAGGGAGGGGAATTAAAGCAGCAGGTGGATGAGTAAGAGTGGGGAAAAAGGTGGGAAAATCACCCCGGAATTAAGACAAAAGCAGGAGCCGTGCCGTTTCTCACCCAAATTTCCCCAGCCGGATCATTACGGGTAGATGAGAAGCAAAGAATAACCACAACCAACCCCTACAAACCACCTTTAAATCCAAAACAAAGATCCTGAGGGCCAAGCGAGGATAAATCTGCTTTCCTTCTTGTGTTGGCGGGATGGGGAGAAGGCTCAAAATTACCTTTTTCCCCCCCAAAAGACGGCAGGGTGATGTAACCCACCTGGCAGAGCTGGGATTTTCCCCTCTATTGAACCCTTCGGTGTTTTCCTCGGTGGCACCGGCGCCGTTCGGGGGTCCCTCCGACTGCTTTTCCTCCACCAGCTTCTTCTCCACTTGGTTTATTTTTCCTCCTTTTTTTTTTTTTTTCTTTTTCCTCCTTTTTTTCTTTCCCCCCTCTCTCTGGCACAGGCTCAGCAAAAGCTTGGTCCCATCTCTGCCTCTGCCAGCTCTTATCAGCCGAGGTGGGAGGAGAACCCCTATCTCGTGCCCGCAGACGGCCTCGACGTGCTCGGATGCCTCCTGCACTCTCCGATTGCAGCTTTTTTCCGCCCCCCCCATTTGTAGGCGTTGGGGAGGAATAAAAAAAAAAAAAAAAAAAGGCAGCGCAAAAAAGGCGCGTCATTGCACTGCACCACAAGGAAGAAATTGGTTAAATTTTTGCCCCCCTAAGCCCCCAAATCCAGGCGCAGCCCCTTCGGCGTGACGGAGCTGAGCGAGGCAAAGCGGAGACGAGGATGGGAGCAGCTTCCAGGCGAGGGATGAGACGGCAAAGCCTGGAAATGAGACGCAGGGCAGGGGGGATAAAACACATTTAAATCCAACTGTGGGTGAAAAAATTTGCTCTTCCCACCCAGGAAGGTCGTGCCAGGAGCCCAACGCGGGAACACCCACGGGCGGTTTAAGGGAAAGCGGCTTCGCCCCGCGCCACCGCCTACCTCCAGCATCGATTTCTCGGAAAGAAGGGAAGCGCGGCCACGGCAGCATCGCGCAACCTCTGTGCCACGACGTCGCCGCTGTCCTGGTG